GGAAATTAATGCTTCCATGGTATGTAGATAATGAGATCCTATTAGATATTTCTTCATGCCAGAACTCTGGAAGCTTTGTTAGGCTGTGAGGATATCAAACTAATACCACTTTTTTTTTCCAAGTTAAAGTGAAATGTATAAAATCACCTTAACTTTTCATTCCCAACTGAGATAAAGTGCCATATTCCTTAGAATAAAGACATAAAGACAATGTAGCCCAATGAATAGGGCCGGCTTTGACGTCAGGGAGATGGGTTCAAGTCTCACCTCTGAAATATCTTGGCTGTGTGACCCTGGACAAGTCTCTACCACCACAAATAACTGTAAGTTACCAATCTGCATCACTTGAGAGTTCCTTTCCACACCAGAGTTCCTTACCCTGATGAAATCATAATTCCAGAACAACCAACAAAAAAGAGGAAAGGATACCTCTGAATGAAGAGATAGGTGAATATGTGACTTGTCATCAGCAGTGTGTTAACGGTATAATCATTGAGATCATATCTCTCCCAGCTGGGGAATAAAATTAGAGGGGTCCGTTTGTGGTGACTTTTGTTGCTATAACCAGACACCACCTGGTTTCTATATTAGAAATCGAAGGCAGTATGTCTAAACCTTAGAAAGAAAACTAGGAAGAGGGTAGAGTTTGGATTGCAGAAAGGGCCCTGACCCTGGCTTCAAACTTCTGCCTTACTACAATAACTCACATTCCCATAATGCTTTAAGGTGTGCTAGACACCTTCCTCCCACCAATATGGGACGTAAGTGTACTTCAGGAGTTTTTTACAGCAGCTGCTAAGTCCAAGGCAGGATTGAAATGCAGGTATGCCAGACCCCAAGCCAGTCCAACATGGCAGACTTCCAATCTTTCTTCTCAAGGGCTAAATTGGATGTTCCAAGCAGTCAGCACTGTGGGTTCCCCTCCACACAACCTCTTCCCCCCTAATGTTCTTCTTGAGTCAAGCTGAGTAAATTTCTGAGCAGCAGTTATACAGACGTTGCTTGAAGCAGGGGAGGCGGCAGGGGCGGGGGGGGGACATCAGCTTAGCTCCCCTTAGAAGAGCTGGTTTTCAGTTGTGTCACATTTCATTGTTGAATATACTGTGTAATGAGCAAAGCACAACCCCTGAATTTTTCCCCACAAATACCAAATGTAACCAGATTCTCACTTTTTTTTTTAGAAAACAACTTGTCTTTAAAAGTATATTTTCATAGGATGACACATTAAAAGTTGGAAGGGATTTTCGTTGCTTAAGCTGTCATACTAGAGAACAAGCGAGGAAGCTGAATGAGTGACCCTACAAGTCCAAAGAGCCCTGAAGACATTGGGGGCAGGGTGAGTAACTGTTTATGACCCCAAGACTCAGAATAACACAGGATGAGAGTTAAGAGGCAAGCACTGACATCATCAAGGCCAATCGCCTTGTTTTACAGATGAAACAAGTGAGGCCCAGAGAGAAGCAGTGATTGGCTGGGAATTGTAGCGGGGCTGCCCAAAGGAGGCCACTTTTCTTTCAAGTTGGGAAAGAAAAGGACCAGTGTGAAGAGAGAGAAAAGAATTCTGGGAAGGAGGTAGGGAGAAGTAGAGGAGACAGAGGGGGCAAGGGGAAACAGCAATCAGTGGCCTCCCTGACTTTCTCAGTGAGGACCTCAGTTTCCTCATGTATAAAATGAGGACATTATACATATTAACAGAAACACCGAAGAATCAGAGATTTCAAGCTGTAAGAGGGCATGTAATCCAACCCTCTTTTACAGAGGAGGGAACCAAGGCCTAGGGGAGTTAAGTGACCTGCCCAAAGTCTCACGGCTGATGGGCAGCAAAGCCACATTCAAGTCCTCTGACTCCATATCCATCCTTCTTTCCATCCTATTGTGCTGCCTCTGCAGATCTTAAAACAAGGGAGAAACCAAAGTAGGACTGGGGTGGAGAGGTGGAGAGAAGAAAGCAAATTCTCTAAGCCAAAACAGTAATTTGTACCTTGCCACCTCATTTTCTGCCATTTGATAACACACAATAAGAAACACTGACTTGAGATTCTCAAGAATAGAACTAATTCTTTTTTTTCTCTGTTCAGGAGGAAATTTATGATTGATTAAAATGATCACCTTAGGCAATTCTTGTGGCCACATCACATTTCATTGTTGAATATACTGTGTAATGAGCAAAGCACAACCCCTGAATGAATTTTTTCCCCACAAATACCAAATGTAACCAGATTCTCACTTTTTTTTTAGAAAACAACTTGTCTTTAAAAGTATATTTTCATAGGATGACACATTAAAAGTTGGAAGGGATTTTCGTTGCTTAAGCTGTTTTTCAGTTGTGTCTGACTCTTCGTGACCCCATCTGGGCTTTTCTTGGCAAAAATACTGGAGTGGTTTGCCATTCCTGTCTCCAGCTCATTTTACAGATGAGGAAACTGAGGCAAGCAGGGTGAACTGACTTGCCCAGGGTCACACAGCTAGTTGTGTCTGCAGCTTGATTTGAACTCAGGTCTTCCTCACTCCAGGCCTAATGCTCTCTCTACTGCTCTACCTACATGCCTCAGCAAAATGTAAAGCCTCTAAGAACAAGGACTGCACTTTTTTGGGTCTTTGTATCTGCAGCACCTTGCACACAGTAAGCATTTAATAAATGCCTGTCGAGTAGGATAGAATTGTCAATGCTGGAACTTGAAATAAGGCCCAGAACTCTATCCACTGCACCACCTAGCTGCCCAGGAAAGGAATGTAGAGACCATTAACTCCAACCCCCTAATTTTACAAAGGGGTTAAGTGACTTGCCCTGGGTCACATGGTGGGTGCCTGAGGCAGGATCTGAACCCAGGCCTTCCAATCTCCAAGACCATTTTATAATAACCTCCCACATTTTAAAAGAATTATTCCTATCTCCTGCCTAAGAAACTCTGTAACGCTTAATGATTATTCCCACAGGGCAGAGGGCAAGAAGAATTTCTGAAACGAGCAAATAGAAAGAATATCCCTGCTGCAAAATTCTACTGGGGAGCCAGAATGTAAGTTTAGACTTTTGGATCCAGAATAGTGCCACTGTATGTCAGTGGGATCTTAACAATAAAATGAAATAAAAGTGAAATCACACAATGGAAAGCAAACTTTACATTCCTGTCCTTTATGAACTGTCTTAAGGTGATTTTATGGTCTTTTTTTTTTTCAGTCACCATGTTCCTAGCCTAGCAGTGTCTGGCTCACAGGAGGCACTGGAATGCTTACTGGATGAACATAAAATACATAGTTGGCAATAGAGAAAAGGTGTATTTGCAAAGGAAAAGGATCATCCTATCACAATGCACCACCGGTGCCCTTTTTTTTTTTTAAAAAAAAAGCAAACACCCACCTACACATGTAGAAGATTCTGTAACTGTTAAGTTATAGCAAGAAGGGTATAATTTAATTAGTTACCAAGGAGTGCACCATGGGAACCTGCTCTCCCCTCCACTTCCACTCTGTGATGATGATAATGATGGTGGTGGTGGTGGTGATGATAATGATGATTTATAAACAGGAGCAGCCTGAAGAATGAAGTCTAGTCCCCTGAAGGCTCTTGCTGAGTCACTTGCATGCCCCAACCCCATTCCTATCCCCACTTTCCTTAAGGGAATGGGGCTTCTTCCCATGGCAATGAGTTTCCCTATCTAATTTGAACAAGGAAGGAAGTGTCTGTCCTCCATCTCCAAGAATCTACAGTTTCAGAAAAAGCATCAGTCTCCCAGAATCCCCTGAAGAGAAAGAAGTATGCCCCCCCAAAAAAATGTCACCCTCCTACCCAAACAGGAACTGAAACCAGATGCATCCTAGTCAAAACCAAAACATAGAAAGAAAAACCCCCCCTGCACTTTTAAGCATACTCACAAGTCAACTGTAGCGTATTCTAATTTCGAGCCACACAATCTTGGCAAATGAGTTTGATTTGCAAGCATGAGAGCAAGTTGAGTATCCACTAGGGCAGGGGTAGGGAACCTGTGGCCTTCTAGGTCCTTAAGTGCAGCTTTTTTTTAACTGAATCCACATGTGGCCTTTAGGCTGCAGGTTTCTCATTCCTGCACTAGGGAATCCAAGGCAGAGTGACTGACCTGGAGTCAGGAGAACCTGGGGCTGAATCTTGTCTCAGACACTTACTAACTGTGTGATCCTGGGCAGCTCACCCAACCTTTCTCTGCCTCGGTTTTCTCAGCTGTAAAATAAGGCGGCTGGGTCAAAGGTCCTTTCCAGCTCAAAATCTAGGTTCTCTCTATAGAAATGCTTCAACTTTTCCACCAGTCAAACAGATCTCTGCCACCATTTTGGCTTTTTTGCATAACCCGTACAGGGATCAGGAGCCAGCCAACCACAGGTAAGAGCATCACAACTCACTCAGCAGGTGCATGCCTGCTGTCTCCTATTGCTAGTAGGGGGGCTCTTAGTCCAGCAGAAGCCATCTGTATGGAATAATAAATTCAGAGCTGAAACAGATTCACAGGACCAGAGAATCAGAGCTGGAAGGGACCTTACAGGTCCAGTCCAAAGGGATGCTAGGAGTCCTCCAAGTCAACTCCCCCATTTGACAAGTGAGAAAAACTGAGCTCCAGAAAGCATGATGGCCTAGCCCATCCAAGTCCAAGAATGTTTGTTTAGATTTTTTAGAAGTAGAACATGAACTCCCCTGAATCCAGCCTTCATGGTGCTTTCTAATGTGAGTGAAAATGATCTTGGCTCTGATTCCCACTCAGGACTCAGGCATCCCAATTACAAATCACACCTGCATGGTTCACAGAGCCCACCCTTTCTAGTTTTGTACCAGAAGGAGCATGCATGCATGCATGCATGCACGCACGCACACACACACACACACACACACACACACACCCAACACACTGCACCCCCCTGGGCAGAATCATATGTGGGGGTCCTCTCCCCTGGGGAGGCTGGCCCCATTATCCCGTGATGTGAGTTACACTTGTAAATTCACCAGGAAAACTCCCAGGAAGCAGCAAACTTACCAAAATAATCAGCCTTTGGATGAATGGCCATGTCCTGCTCCAGGCGCTGGGTGAGTGCTTCTAATTTTAATTCAACTGCAGACAAGCCTTGCTCTGGGAGTGGAAGGAGGGTCTGACAGGGTAATTTTACTTTGGAGGAGCCGGAGTTCTCTGGATGGACACTCCCCTTGGCTACTATCAGCAATCGAGCTATTGGGCCCCTCTCTAAAAGCAGGCCCAGGAGCATCAGACACTGGCCCTGAAGACAGGTTGGGGAAACCCAGCTTGGGATTTGTGCCAGAGTCCTTGCAATTGGACTGCGGAGTCTGACCATGAGGGACTAAGTGGTCGATGGACTTAGGGTAAGCAGCACCAGAGGGCTGATAGTCAATGCTGGTTGGCAACGGGGCAGGTACTGAACTTGAAATGTAGGATTTGGGGCTCCCATGGTACCAGAGCTGAGAGTCCCCAGTGGGTTTGGCCATACCACCAGAAACCTCCCTTTCTACCCCAGCACTTTTTTTGGACGGATCTCCCTGAAGTGTAGTACCTGAAGCAGCTAGGGTGGACGGTGCTGAGAATGAAGATGACCTCTGCTGTGGCATTGGCAAGGGGGCTGCTATTTCTGGGGGTGGGGGAGGAGCTCTAGAATTGAGCATGTGGGAGAAGGAAGATGACCTCTGTTGGCTGGTTGGCTTCTTTTCAGGGTCCCGGCTGAGCTGGTGGCCCTCACTTCCACTGCCATCCTGGCTACTGTATCCGCTCTCAAATGACCTGCAAGAGTTTGGTGATGGCTGGCACTGGTACAGGTGAGGGTCAGTTGGGGTTTTGGCACCGGGCCAAGAGCTCCCCATGCTTGGTCGGATACTGGTGAACTGGGTGGGCTCCTCTGCCCACTTCTGCTCAGGATAGTTGTCATAGTAATCTCCATGAGAAAGAGAAGAGAAAGCCCCCCTGAGTAGGGCCCATACCACCAGTGCCCCTGGAATCTAGCCCCTGCAAACCAGAGGCTGAGGAATTCCCAGTTCCATTGCCATAACTAAAGTCCTGGCTAGCTCTCTTCTGGCCCTCAGGCTGCAATCTGGCCCGCTGACCTGGTGGCAGAGATGAGTGTGACTGACTTTGAAAGGCCAGCTGACTCACAGGGCCTGGTCCTGCTGGGCCAGCCCCAGAAGCCAAGGACGATGCAGCAAGAGGGGGTTTAGCAGCTCCATCCCCCGGGGATAGCTTAGTGCTCCCCCCTGCCTCCCGGTGAACGAAGGCTCCTGCAGAGGGGATCTGGGGGGCCAACCGGCCACCTCCATTGAGGGAGCCACTACTCCCCTGCAGCAGGTCCTCCTGCAGCAACTGCTGCTGCTTCTGAAGGTGGATCTTGGCCATCTTGGTCGCAAACACCCTCCTGGTCTCCTCAAACTCAGGGTTGTTGCTGGCTCCCTTGTCCACTCGGAACAGGCCATCCTTAGATGCCTCATACATGTTGAGGTCCTCAATAAATTTACTGGCCTCAAGGCCCAAGTCTTCATATTTGTCCATGTTGTCTCAGCACCTGGCCGTGGGCCCTGGTAACTGGTCCTTTGGTCCCACTGGGTGAGGGGAGGAAGGGGCTGCTGGAAAAAAATAACAACAACCCAATGGGGAGAAGGCTGGAGTCTCAAATAGCTGCTATTATCATGTGGCAAAAACCAGTGGCATGATTCCAATCGCAAAAGGTTTTATAAGGCTGCAAACTCTTTGAACAGAGACAATTTGGTCGACTTTCCCGCCCAGCTCTTCTGCTCCCTGCAGGGACATCCACAAAGCAGGTGGCTGCTCTCTTCCCGCAAACTTTGGGCAGCCCCGTGCCCTCCGTCAGCCCGTGGCTGGGCTCAGACGGGATGTACTTTAAATCTTGAAAGGGAAAAGGACAAGAGAAAAAAAATCACATCCTCTGCCGTAAACCCAATGAGAAAGCAAACCCAGCCTCCTTGCCCCCAAATATCCCTGCAGCCCCAAGGAGTTAGGAGTAGTTGGGGGGAGGGGATAAGGAAGGGAGAGTGAGGGGCAAGGCAGTGAGAGCGAGGAGGGCGAGGGTACGGGAAAGGCTTGGGCACCAAGGGGCACAATGATTGCGAAGCTCAGAAAGGTGAGACCCGTCAAAACTGGGCCTTCCAAGCCCGGTCCCTTTTCCCTTGCCTGGCAGAGTAACTTGGAGAGCTCCAATCTCCGCCGGATGAGTGGAAGGCGAGTCGTGGCCCGGGGGCAGAGGAAAGGGGAAGGAGGAGGAAGAGGAGGAGGAGGAGGAAGTTGGGGGGGGAGGCAATCACCAGCAGGGCGCCCTCCCTTCTTCTGGGACTGGCGGCGTGGCCCGAGCGGCCGGGCTCAGGGCTGCGTGCGCGGGCTCAGGGCTGACGGGACGCGCGGGCCGGCTGGCGCTTTGTCCCCCCGGCCGGCCGGGCGCTCTGGACTGGGCTGGCCAGGGCAGGACTCGTTCGGGGGGCTTGTGAGGGCTCGGCTCGGCAGGTCGCCCGCGGGGTCCCGCAGGAGGGCGGCTGTAGACGCGGAAGTGGAGGGCGGGCGCACGGTGTGTGCTTCTGCCTCCGTCCCGGTGTTTCGCACTCCTTCACTCAGCAGCTTTGTGACATTCAACGAGTCCGACAGCAACCCTAGCTTCGGCTCGCGGCTCCCACCCCCGGGGGCGGGAGGAGCGAGGGCGGGGTGGGGGGCGGGGAGACACTGGGCGGGCCAGGACGAGGGGGCTGGGGGCGGGGGCTGCCGGGACTGCCTCTCTCTGTAACTTGCAACGTGGTCGGGAGGGAGGGGAAGGGATTGAGCCCGCGCCTTGTAGCTTGGGACGCCTGGGGAGAGCACCCCGGGAGGAAAAGGGCGCTGCTGGGACAGACGGGAGTAAGCTCTAGTACCGTGCCTGCCGGGCACAGAGTAGGCGCCTAATAAATGCGTATTGATTGATTGAAATGGCAGAGCGGGGAGGAGATAACCCCACACAAGCACACACTCTTCTCTGCGAGCCTGTAACAGAAGAATCTCCCGCTCCGCCTGGATCTGAAGGTGAAATGGACCTTTCTGATCCTGCCCACCCCCAAGGGCCGCGGCCACCCCCCCCCTTTTGTTTTCTTCCCAAACTCTTACAGTAACACCCCGCAGCCAGTCTCTGAAGGTTTGGCCCGAGCAGAAGAGCGCGGAGGGAACTCCTGCGCTGTCCCACCGCCTTTTAGCCTTTAATTCTCCTGTTGCGGGGACTTGGCCCCACCCCCTGTAAGTGTGGAACTAGAAAAGTTTCCTGGTTGGCCCAAAGCCAGGCTTCTTTGCCAAGCTAGCTCAGAGGGCGGGAGAGCCCCGAGCAGTGACCGCCTGCTGCCCAGGAGAGGGCCGGCCCTGATGAGAAAGAGGGAGTAGGCGTGGCCACAGCAAGGCCGAGGCCAGGAGGCCTTACAGTCCTGGATCCTCAGAGATGGACACCCACACCGACACAGAGAGAACCTGGACAAAGAAATGGGCAAGAGAATTGTCTCGTTTGGCTGACATTCCTTCAAAAATTTGTGGATGCATTTCAGGCCTGGTGGCGATCCTGGGCAAGTCACCCAACACTCAGTGCCCTGGGCAACGTTTTAAACCTGAAGTTTGCATAGCGGTAGCCAGATTATGTTTACAAAACCCCTTCCTCTCAAGCCTTTCAAGGGAATATAAATATCTTTAATCACACACACACACACACACACACACACACACACACACACACACACACACTACACCTCTCTGAGGTCCCTTCCATCTCTGTATATAAGAACTCACAATCCATGAGTCCCTTGGCTTAAGTAACTTGTGGCGAAGATTTGAAACTACTCTGCAATTTCTAGTCTTAGAGTTTCCTGGCTTACTGAGAGGTTATATGACTTCCCCTAGGGCCCGCACAGCCAGGTTTTCCAAGTCCAGCACGCTGTGTGCTTCTTGAGAACTTCACGACATACACGTCTAAGCCTAAGTCAAGTGTAAAATTCATCACCAAAAAGCTGGCTATCAGTGTAAACATTTTTACTGGTCACAGCAATCCACCAATAACGGTCCACAAAAGATGTATAGCACTTTGATAAATGTTTTTGGGATTGAATTGTTGAATTTTGAGCCTCTGCCCCACCCCTACCTTGTGTCAGTTATTCTTTTACCTATGATACTTTATTAAAGGGCCAGTCTTGAAAGCAGGGGTTCTTAACCTGGAAGCCACAGACACTTTGATTTCAGGGAGTCTGAAAACTTAAGATATGAAAGAATTGCATGTTTTTTTCAATGTAATTGATTTCATTTGTAATCCTAAGCATTTTGTTTTATGCATTTAAAAACATTATTCTGACGGGCTTCACCAGATTTGCCAAAGGTGTCCATGGCATAAGAAAAGATAAAGAACGTCTGCTTTAAACTTTTAGGATGAGATTCTGTTTCCGAAAACAATCCAGTCTGCATAGTGAAAACACAGTGATTGTGTGTAGCTGTCCAGGGTCATAGCTAGTATGTATCAGAGGCAAGACTTGGACCCAGGTCTTCCTGTCTCAGGGGCCAGCTCTTGTAGCTACTCTGCCACACTGCTTTTCATAAATAAATATATAAATATATTGAGTGCACTTATATGTTCTTTTTTTAAAAGACCATTTAAAACACTTTATGTATCACACAGCTGAAATTCCAGTTCCCATAAATCCACACATTTGCCAAAATTTGGCAAAATCGAATCCTAGTCCTTACAGGTCAACAGCAAGAAAGACAAAAGTGAATCTTGCACCAAGTAGATTAAAGCTGGTTTGAGTCCTGATCTCCAGACCTCACACAGAACAGTTCTGGGTAGATGAAGAAAGGCCATTCCATAACTGAAGGGTTATTTGTTTATGACACTGACTCCCTGATGTGCCACCAGATATGATAATAAATATGAATGTGCTATCTAAAGACAGAAGAGAACTTAGGCCCTTCACTTAGGTGAAAGGGTTTTCTTCATTAATGTAGGTCAGTTCTTTCTCTCATACACATACACACACATATACACTCACCCCTAGGGCTGGTACAAAGAAATGCGCTATATTAACATGTACAGGAGGTGCTTAATAAATGATTATTTGATTCCAGTGAAGCATAGACTCTAGGGGATTCTAACAAGATGGAAAGGATAGAAGCCTGAGCCTGGTATCAGGCTTATTGTGCCTGTTGTGGGAGGAACAACCCAGATAATTTCAGAGAGGCTTATCTTTAGGTTGGCCTATCAAGGACCTCACAACATACAGGTATTATTGGAGGACCTGCCCAGTCGAGTCTAAAACTCATCACCAAAAAGTTGGCCATCATTGCAAACATTTTTAGTGGTCACAGCAATTCACAAAGAAAAATTGTCCACAAAGGATATATGGAAAGTTGTGATCTGTGTGGCCCACCTGTGCCTAAGAAATCACACACCTTTCAAAGTACCAAAAGTCTTTTTAGAACATTTATTAAGCACCTACTATGGTCAGGCACTGTCACAGCCCAGGGTCAATTCAATTCTATTCACCTATCACGTGCCAGGCATTGTGCTACCTGCAACATCATGTTAAGCATCAGAGAGAGTGAATAAATAAATGCCAAACTGCTCCCTGCAAATATAATCAAGTATTTATCAAACACCTACTATGTGTCAAAAACTGTGCTAGGACAAAAAATGAAATAGTCCCTGCTCTCAAGAAGTTTACATTCTATCAAATATAGGCGGCATACTTAAAACAAGATTTCTTTGAAAGAAAGATAAATAGATACATACATACATACATATATATATGAATGCATATATGTGTTGTGTTACACATATGCAGCAGAATTTTTGGAGTCAACCACCTCATGTATAACCTATGCAGGTATATCACTCCTCTCTTCTTGCTTGAATCAATAATTCATTCTCATCCCTAGTTTTAAGGCAATCAAGGGGTATTAACTATATTTCCTAATTATTGATTAAATTATTTTAAAACTCTCATTAATAAATTAATTCTCTTTGGAAACCCATCCCTGTTTATTTGTTTATTTATTTATTAAAGAAACTAGACAAATCCCTTTTCTCATAAGCTTTCACTTTCACTCAATATCAAACTCTTTAATCTTCTAAATAAACATCAGGGTTAATTGATACAATTAACAGTGTAACAAATGATAAAATGTATACATAAACAATTACTTACAATGAGTCCTTGAAAGAAAAATCACAGCTAGTCAACTCTGGAAACACAATCCCATCTTGAGCTTTCTCATTTTACCAATTAAAGTCTCTTTTCAAGAATTCTCTTCCTTTGTTTCTTCACAAAATAAGAGTTAAAACCATTCTATAGGGAAAGAAGTTTTCTTAATCCTCTGTCTCTGTTCCTCTGGTCTCTAGAAAGTGCAACTCTGATGGGCTGGCCATGTTGCTTGAATGCAAAACGTACACTTGCCAAAAAGACTATTTTATGGAGAACTCACACAGGGCAAGCCCTCACGTGGTGGTCAGAAGAAGCAATACAAGGACACTCTTACTGTATCTCTTAAGAATTTTAGAATTGATTGTGTGACATGGGAGGCACTGTCACAGGACCGCTCAGCAAGACATGCCCTCATCAGAGAAGATGCTGTGCTCTATGAGCAAAGCAAAATTGAAGTAGCTCAAAAGAAACTCAAGATGCACAAATTTAGAGAAGCCCCCAAATATCCACATGGACAATTTGTGCCTGACCTGTGGTAGAGCATTCTGAGCTCATGTTGGTCTGATCAGCCGCAGTCAGGCACACTGCGACTTGACTCTAGTATAGTGATGTCATTTTGGTCCTCTGAAAATGAAGGAAAACAATCACCCAACCAGCTTTTCAGAATGACACAAAATTCCATTATCTATTAAAGATACAAAGTCAATGCCCATAGTTCTTTTCAGGTTCCACTCCTGATTCTCCAGGCTTTTTCTGCCATCCTACAAAAGCGCCTTCACCTTGAAAGCTCACTGCACCCTTGGTCTTCTCATACTGAAAGTTCTCTCTGCCCCTGGGGCCCTTTCCTGTGATTGACCGGTTCTTTCCAGAACCTCATTTTAAGATAACTGCCCAGGCCAACCGCATCTTCATTCTTCTGCATGCTCCCCTCCTGATTCTCCATATGTTCTCTACCCACACCCTTTCTGTATTACCTTCTCTGTAGCACTTTTTAGCTTTCTTTTACGTGTTGTCTTTCCTCATTAGAATGGAAGTTCCTTGAGGGCAGGTGCTGTCTTTCCTTCCTTCCTTCCTTCCTTCCTTCCTTCCTTCCTTCCTTCCTTCCTTCCTTCCTTCCTTCCTTCCTTCCTTCCTTCCTCCTTCCTTCCTTCCTTCCTTCCTTCCTTCCTTCCTTCCTTCCTTCCTTCCTTCCTTCCTTCCTTCCTTCCTTCCTTTTCCTTCCTTTCCTCCTTTCCCTTCCCTTTCCTTCCTCTTAGCACTGTGCCTGGCACATAGTAAGCACTTAATAAATGCTTGTTGACTTGAGTTGACTTGACTTGTGGTATGGGCTAAACTCTATATAATAGGACACAGAGTGCCATTAAAGGTCACCATACTCGGGTTTTATGTAAGCCAGATGTACAAAGACTGCAGCTTATAGAAAGACTGTGGCCTGACTCAGACACATTAACATAATAAATCTGAATCACTATGAAACAATAAATGGGCTG